ACTAAAATATTTATATGGTTAAGGAATTAAATGGGGATGGTTTTGATTCTATTTTGACTTCAAAAGTGAAAAATGTAATGTTTAACCGACCTGTACAAGATCTTTGCGCGGTCTGAGCTTCAGGAGTGGTTCACTGAGTCGAACAGAACACAAGCCTCCTCTTCCCTCATAAGAGCAAACACCAGCACATCTGAGGGAGTCAAACATTACACCATTAGGTCAAAGTCTTCTGTCTCTGTCTCTCTCTCTCTATCTATCACACGTTCTGTTGAGCATAGACGAGTGAAGCTTACAGTGTCATCCGGGGACTCCACTTGACCTCCACACCGCTGAGTTTCCCCCAGAAGAACTTGTCATTGAACTGCAGGAACATGGCTCTCACGTCCGGATTGGGGTCCAGCATCTCCCACGACTCGTCCACGACAGACAGCGGTCTCTCTGGTCTGGGCTGAGAGTAGGAAATCACGTCCCTCAGACCAGACGAGTCAATTTTACGCTTTTTGCTGGACGGATAGTCTTCATCAGTCCATCCAGCTTTCGCGGTCTCTTGATCAAACTGCTCTTGTAAACGAAGAGCGAGTAAAAAGTCTTCATCCTCCATCTTCAGTCTGCTTTAGGACGAACAGATCAACTGGATGACACCTTCAACCAGAACAAGAACTCCTCATAAATCCATTAATCGCGACCAACGAAACTCTCGCCTAATAGATTAAAGGGTTTAATCGCGGGTTTTCGTGACTGTGACGATAAAGATTAACGTCTCAAATTTTTTTGAAAGAAACCTATTTCCACCAGAGACCTATGAAAAAACTATTGTTGGCCAATCGTAAAGCCGCACAGTGTTGGGAATGCTGGGAAATGTATTTCTAAGCCTAGTTGTTTATAATGTTACGTTATATGCATGAACAGCGCAACACTGGGGACTTGTGGATGTTACAATATGCAAAACAGATAAAAATAGCGCTACAAAAATAACAGCCCGTGGAATGCGAGAAGGAGACGTAAAATGTTGACCAATCAAAGTAGTTGCACGGAGTTGCTAGATCCACAAACAACAACAACAACAAATCGTATAATTATTTGTTGTTTGTCATTTTATTCGTCATTTGTTAATTATTTGTCATTTGATGATTAATTATTCATTCATTATTGGAACGAATATCGGATACTAACCAACATGGTGAAAAATATTTCCTTTGAGTAATTCATACATTTTACTCTCAACACTTCCTAACAATGAGGTGGCGCTTAGTTTGGTCTTGCTGTGTTTTTACTCAAATGGGTATAATG